TATTTATTCCTTTTGGATCAATAAAATTTCATCAGTCCTCCACGTGGACGGTGGCTAATGAAAATGGACCCACCTAGAGCAAAGTGGGCCACCACTAATCCGACGTGTCAACTTTTGGGTGGACCAATCGGCAGTCTCCCAAGGGGGTATTAAAAAAGGAGTCCTAATTGATTTCGAACACCTTGTGGCTTCACGTCAGCTTCCCAAATGGACGTCTCCTAAGTCCACTAATAGGGGCAATTTGGTCAAGGTGTTTGATTTTTATAGCCTCGAACCCTCTCAGATTTTTTTTAGTCAGAATTAGCAATTCCCGACTCTATCTCTCTCCGTTTATTTTTCTTAAATTTCGTGAAATTACATCTTTGTGCCGATTGTTTTCATTTATTGCTTTTACATCAAATTATTTTCCTTTTGTTTTCAAACTCATCATGACCATTTGTGTTTTACAACATGTCTAGTTTGAGGGGAAGGAAGGAGAGGTGAGGGGAATGAAATAGGTAGAACCTCAAAATTTGTCCTTTATATAAAAAAGTAGGGACAAATTTACTTTTAAAAAATACTGATAAATTATTTTTTAAAATTATCAATTAATATAAATAACTTATTATTTAATAAATGATGTTATTACACATCAAAAATTCATTTGTCACCTAAATACATTTCAATTAAAAACTGATATATTATGATGTCACATATTAAATAATTGGTTAGAATAACAATTTATTCTTACTTTTTTAAAGGTATTTTTTTAAGGATAAATTTGTCCCTATTCTCTTATTTAAGCAATAGATTTTATGGAATGAAATGCATCTTTTTATTCCTCTCAATTTCTTTTTCTTCCTTTCTCTTTATTTAGATAGATAAAACTTTTTTTTTAAAAAAAAGGAGAATGCTTTCTTCTGCTCATCTTTCATCCATACTTCTTAATCCAGACATATTGCTAAGTTTACTACAAAGGTATTAGTATCGCGGTACATGTGATGTGATTAGGAGATATCTTTTTGATTGTCCAAACAAAAATATGCCCCTTCTAAACAAGGTCTTATTGGTAAGAATTTCTTTAACTTATACCTTAAGGTATAAGTTAAAAATATATTAATTGTACTTTTTATAATAAATTTTTAGAATAAAATGTAAAATCAAAACATTATTTTTTACACTAATATTATATAGATAATTTTAATTAGATAATTGATAAATTTAATATCAATTTTTATTTTTTCATATAAATTAATTGTAAAAATATGTAATTAATATACTTTTAATTTTTATCCTTAATATACAAATTTAAAAAATAATTTATACTTTTTCCGTTTAACCTTTAATTGCGGTTTAAATAGGGGGAAAAAGAAAAGCCAATGCACCTTAAAATGTTAAAATGACAGTTGATTTGGAAAAAAAGTAGATATTATGGGATAAAGTGAGTGCATACCTAAGTGGATATCCTGACTTCTCTTTTTTGAACAAAAGATGAGGGGTATGGGGGAACAAACAAAAATTACTAAGAGGGTTTTATTTTTTTAAGTGAAACATTCTTAATATTTATTGAGAAATTGTTTAATTACCCTTCTTAAAGAAAAAAAACAATTTAAGAACGTGCTTAGATTCTTATATCTTGACTATTTTGTGATATATTTACTTAAAGGCTCTCAAAGATCCTAATTTAGTTATCAAACAAGGAAGGAAAAGGATAAGGAATAAGCTATCCAGCATAATATTACAGACTCAATCGTGTCATGTCACTCACAAACTCTTGGGCACAAAATGGACATGTAATGTTAGCTTGAAACCATTAATGGAAGTGGAACCTAACCTCACAAAATGTTTGCAACATGTAGGCTTAATTTGATAATGTTGATTTATAATTGTAGTTATAAGTGTTTTGATTTTTTAACATCTTAAAAATATATAAAATATATTTTAATTAATATATTATATATTTTAAAAATAAAAAAAAAACATAAAAATTAAAAGTTAAAATATCAAAAAGCATTCTTAAATGAAACCGTAGTCTTAACACATGCCTATAAACTAGATAATCTTTGAATTATAGAAGAGATTTTGTATTGGAATGGGAGATATGTAAGCATGATAAAAAAATAAAAAATAAAAGATGATTATTTTTTATTATATAATTAAAAATAAAAATAAAATAAAATAATAAAATATATGCCATGACCAAAATCATAACTCTTTTTTTGGCCGGAAAAAACAATACCATTACAACAAAAACTTTGTTTTGTTAGAAAAAGGAATTTTGTCATTCACAAGTAGACAAAATGCGTGGCCACAATTGCATCGTATTTCTTGGATACAATAAAAAGCATCTTTATAAGAGATATGCTTGGACAAAATAAAGTAATAAATAGGGAACTGTCTGTGCAAGCTAAAAGAGCTTATACATGATCATTCTAATATTCACAACATATCTTACTTGCCCCACTAAGTAATTATAATTATAAAACAATAAAACAAAATGCCAGCCATGTTTCAGCTTAATTTGATTGGATGATAACTGAGTGTCTATGTAATGATATGAAACAAACTTTATAGGGTATATATGTTTCGTTAGAAAGAAATAAAGAGAATGAATGGATTTTTTTACTAATTAATTTAATAAGTCAAACAACTCCTCTCTCCTCATTAATTGGTAAAAAAACTTCAAAACAAAACACAACCTAAGTTCATGCACATAGTTAATGAACTGCTGTCTAGTGGGTGAAGGTAGAGGTGTTAGTATTATTTAGTTGAGTTTGTTTATCCTATTCATTTAAAATATAAGGTAAGAATGTATTTATTATATTTTATTATTATTTATGTATTAATTTATATAAAAAATAAAAAAATTAACATTAATTTTAACATATACTATATATAAAATTTTTATTAAATAATTAATAAAATTAATATTAATTTTTAGTTTTATTATGTATATTAATAATAAAAATATATAATAAATACACTCTT